ATAACCTGGCAGTTGTCTCGCTCCCGCATTCTGTCTTAGCCTGTGTTGCTTTCTTTTTTAATTTATAGAAACTACCACTAAAATACAAGGAGAAATATTATCTTCGTATAAAAAGTTCAATATGCCGATATTTTCATCGATTGTTTCGTGGAAATTGATTTTCCTACTACGCAAATTCAAGTAAGTATGCCAAAAGAAATCAAAAATAATGGAACTATTTTGAATTAAAACTATAATTTACATATTTCTTTGCAGAGTATCGGAGTATTCAAAACTTTTATTTAAAAACCTGCGTTTTACAGCAGGTGCAGCCGTTGCAAGTAAGTTCTGCGCGCTAGGATATCTGTGTGTCCGTCCACGTTTGGTGGTGGGAATTACAACTACAGCGATTTATTTGGAGAAGTGCAGCCGTTTCATACTTACAAGTACACCACCCCATAAAAGTGCAAATATAAATAAAGGGTTTTTCTTGTGCTGGTCAGGATCATGTGTGTGTCCGTCCACGTTCGCTGGTGAGGATATTTTCACCACTGCAGCTTTGGTTTGGTCAAGTGGAGCCTCTGCATAAGCCCTGTTCGCGTACGCACTATCCAGTAAATACAGTACTAATTTTACTGGTTTTTTACTGGATGTCGTTTTCGTACGAAAAAACTTGCAAGAAACTAGCAAAAGAGGGGAAATTGAGAGAGCAAAAATGACAGCTGACCTGCAAGTTTTACTGGATTTTTACTGGATAAATTTTACTAGCAACTATTTGCTAGTAAGAAAAACAGCTGATGGCATGATGCTTATTGTAAATCACATTAAGAAAATAATTGTTTGTGGTACTTTTAGAGTTGCAATTGACAAAATAAACCTATTTAAATATATAATAAGATGGAAAAGACTTCTAAGAAAATTCCATCGGAAAATAACAAATTAATCAGCTGTTCATAAAACTAGCAACTTCTTGCTGGTTTTGCGTTTTCGTACTTTCTTGCATATTTCACTCATTGGGAGTAAATATTGGCTTACTCTCCGAAATTTGGTTACTGGCAAGTTACTGGATATTTTTTGCTGAAGAATACGAAAACACAACTAAAGCATCGTTCACTCAAAATCGGTACGCATGAAATGGGTTATATCTTTTTAATAGGTTTTCAGAAAATAATATTTAATATGTTAGAATAAAGAGAAAGCATTCCGTTATAGATACATGTTAACGAGAGTTTCATATTTTACTTGGATTAATAAATAAGAGACAATTTCTTTGATAAGGATACAAATTTCTGAACACCCGTTCTATAGACTTGGGTAGTCAACTTGCTCTACTAAAATATCTTTAGTTTATGTTTTTCCACGGCTCGCACATCTCTACTAATTTTGTTTTAAATAAATACCATGGCGCGTATTCATAGTCCAGCAACTAAGTCGAAACTAACAAAGTCGCAACTTAAATTTAAGTACCAACTTAAAATTTACCTCTATTCATAGTCGCATTTCAGACTTCTACTAAGTAGTTTCGACTTAGTTTACGAAATAGCAAAACGAGTGTGAAAATGTATCGATTTTTCTTTACGATATTTTCGAAAAATTACATTTTTATTAAATAATATCAAGTTTGATCATCCGTTTATGTAATTTTTATTTTCATTGCATGATTATGCAAAAGAATAAGGTATAATTTTCTTGTTAATTGTGTGAAATAGCCAGAACAACCGCAGTGATGTGAAGTCGATGTTTATCGAAAGCATGCTGTGAAACATACAAATAGTAGATATCTAAATGTTATGCACAAATTTACTTTAAAAGAACTAGCGTGAAACTGACTTATTATTTGAAAATTTATCTAAATTATTCCAATTACAAAATTGTGATGTAGCTTTATTCGAATTGTAATACGCATTTAATTTCATCTTCCGATTAAAATGGAGTTTATTCAATATCATCAAAATCACCCTCTACCAACTTAATTTTTACATATTTCTTCTGTTTTCCCTTAATTTGATAAAATACTTCTTCCTAGTTACGACTTAGTTGCAGCTGCAGCCGAAACTAAATTTTAAGTTGGTACTTAGCCAGAAAAATTAAACTAAGGCGACTATGAATAGCTTTAGTTGTGACTTAGAATAGTTTGGACTTAGTTGAGCACTAAATATGACTATGAATATGCGCCCATGTATTTTTCGATTTGACTTAAATATGTCATATTCGTAAATTGATGACTTCCAGAACTTTATTCAGATCATTGTCTTCAAACCGATTTAAAGTTACCTGTGAATAATTAGTTTTCATAAAAACCCACCAACACTTTACCAAAGGTCCAAAGAAAAGGATACAATGAAATAACACTTTGTGCAAGCGCACCTTCCAGCATATTTCTGGGGTCATTTAACCCATTGTGGAGTCTGATCGAGTTTTAATGAGACTGCCTCGATTCTCTTGTCAGTTCATAGCCTTTTGACAACTGTGTCAACTTCTATAGATTTAGTTGTAAGAGGATATCACCCTGTTTCTTTTTAGCTTAAAACTTTTAACGTGGGAGTTGACCGAAGTCCAGTTTTAAACATGTTTTATTAGACATTATTATAAAATACCACATTAAGTGTGAACATTGGGGTAATGTAAACGGGTGCGGTTTTTGTTATAAAATGTATTTAATCTAACAGAATTTTATGTATTATAACTCGACAAGGTTTAAGTCTTGCCATTGCTTGCATTCGCTGAACTGTGGATAACCGTTTTCCAATTTTCTCGCACGATCTTCTTCTGATAAGCTGTTTTTTTTCCTAATTCAGGTAAAGAGCCTTGTCCTTAAGCTGGTGCGAAATGATGTATTTTAATGATAAGCTCACCCCGTTAGTTTAAGCAGAAGGAATCTATTCATTGATTTTTGGAGGATAATTATAAGTTTTTGGTACATTTAATTTTAATTTGATTTTTGATCTCGAAAATGTCGGATTTTCAACGAATTTGTTTAACATTATTTTTTGAGCAGCAAATTCCAACGCGAATAAAACTGTCATATAAAAAGCCAGTACTATGAAATTTAAACCTAATAAGGGTAGATCTATTGTCTAACGATCTGCATTGCAACTTTTTAATACATTCCAACAATTTCTGTACAGAAATTGCTGGAACGCGTACCGATTTTGAGTGAACGATGCTTTATACTTACAAGTTAGTATACCACCCCATAACAGTGAAATGTTAATAGAGATTTTTTTTATGCACAAAATGTAATTCAATTTAAGATATTGAACATGTAATTTTTAAATGCAACAAATATAATAATTTTTAAAAGATTAATTTATATACATTATATCAATTGCATCTTTACTATTTGTATATCTCTTCATATCGCACACCGTCTTCAAAAGAGTCACAACTCAAAATAATATAGAAAATGAGAAAAACTATTTCTTAGCACATGATAATCATAAGGGCAAGGGCGACTTTACCTTCGTTTTTTTAACAAATTATAACAAAAATTTGCTCAAACTTTTGCTGAAAGGTAAATAAAAGCATGTGTACATTTTAGGCGCATAATCTCAAAAATGACAAAACTTGAGTTGTGACTCTTTTAAAGACGGTGTGCGATATAGTCCCTTTGAATAAAGAATTTGTTTAATTCTATTAATTTTGCTTAATATATAATATAATATTAATGAAACCATGGTTTATTTTGAATAATTGAGAATATTTGTCGATAAGATTTTTCTTTGGTCAGAGTTGTATGTGAATAAAATTCTCTCATTCTTCATTTATTTCATTTTCAAAATCCATATAGCATGTTAAATATACCATAAAAAGTTAATTCATTGTCTGTTGTGTAGATCAGTGGAATCTGCTTTATATTGTTAGGCAAAAGGATTTCGACAACTTTGTTGCGTAATTGGTATCTTTATTAGTTTTTCTTATTGAATTCTCCAAAAGTCTGCTTCGCTGGAACTGATGTCTTGCTAGTCGTCTTGCACAAGGAACGAATAAACAAAAGTCCCGAGCTCGCTTTTTCTTGCCGACCGGCTGTCACAAATCGGGCCGGGTCTTTCGTGTTACGATGCAATGTTTAAGTTCCAGGGATGCATACAAGTGGTAGTAGCTAAAACTAATTCTTAGGTAGACGTGGAATTTGGTATAGCATACCGATACAATATTACAATGTTAAGCCGTGCAAGCTCATAACAACTTAACAGCTCGGCCATTCTGACAATTTGATCGTCCCGATCAACGATAGTCTTTGAGCTTGACCATCTTATACAATTGACAATTGAAAATATGTTCCATAAGGATTCAGTACGATAAACTACACCTTTTCCAAGAGTACTTCAGAAAGCATCAAATGTACTTCAGAATAGTCATTTGTACTTCAGAAATAGTAAAATGTACTTCAGAATAGTAAATTGTACTTCAGAAAAAGTAAAATGTAATTCAGGATAGTCCATTGTACTTCAGAAACCGTAAAAATTATTTCAGATACTGTAAAGTTTTCTTCAGAATAGTCAATTGTACTTCAGAAACTGTAAAAAGTATTTCAGAATAATCAATTGTACTTCAGAAACCGTAAACTGTACTTCAGAATAGTCAATTGTACTTCAGAAACCGTAAATTGTACTTCAGAAATCGTAAAATTTACTTCAGAAGACGAAATTTACTACATACATACATATTGTAATTATTTAAATGGTATATAAAATGGTATTTTTAAATATGTTTATTTTTTTAATATATTTTCCAAATTACAAGTCCATAGAAGCAGTTTGTTCGCAATGTGTACTATATATTTAAGAATGAAACGATTAAATTAATGCAGACTAAATTATGTTCCAACTGCCAGGTCGTATAAAGATAGTGCATTTGCATGGATGAAAACTGGTATAATGTTGAATCGCTATGCCATAATCGCCACCAACAACTGTCGCTTTTCCCTCGTCAACGCCCGGATCAAATAATAATGTCGCTTGTACATACTCCATGTAGTAAATGCTTGCATGGTAAAATTCGGACTATGAACAAATATATAGCCTTCCGCTTTATGCTGATATGGCAAACTACGTACTTTACATTAATTTTACTTGTTAATATTAACATTTTCTTATTGAAAAAATAATCAAGTTCAACATCTTGTAATTTTCATTCGATTGTGATTTATCGCACCTAAGGCAATTATTAATTTTTTTTTAAATAATTAAACTGAATAAGAAGATCTAAGAAATGGAGGTGCAAGATAAATGCGTGATTTGCCAAATCAGCATGAAGCGGAAGACTATAGTCCGCATTTTACCGTGCAAACATTTGTTACATGCGTTATGTTCAAAGGAGATTGTGGAATCTGGGTCTTGTCCGATTTGCAGACAAGTTATTACTGGTAATGTATTTTTTACCGTAAAACCACAAATTATTTTAAAATATAAATGTGGTTTTAAATTTATATGTTTATGTAGAAACTGAAGCGGTTCAGCGCAAAAAATATAAAGCCTACACGAGCCAGGACAGGAGCAGAATTGTAGAAGCTGCAAATAGGAACGAGGACTGGGTAGGATTGGCAGGATCATTGGGCGTAAACTACAAAACGGCCTATACATGGGTGACGTCCGGAAGAGACAACTCGCTCCAAAGGGGAGGAAGAAAAGCGAAGTACCTTACAGACGGGGAATTGGACAGTGTAATAAAATGGGTAGAAGAGGACTGCACGGTAACGCTAAAGAAATTAAAGACTAAAGTTCGGAATGCTTTCCAAAAAGATGTCTCAACCTCCACAATGGGAAATCATTTGCAAGGTAGATTGTATACAATTAAAAGTATACACCACCAGCCAGCAACCATTAACAGTGCCGTAAACAAGGCCAAGCGCGCGGAATACGTAACAACGTTGAATTCATATATACAAGCCGGAAAGCAAGTGATATATATCGATGAAACAAACTTCAATTTGTTCTGTCGTCGTAAACGGGGTCGCGCTCGCTCTGGATGTAGAGCAGTTCAAATACTACCAGCTGCGCGAGGACCAAACATTCACCTGATTGGAGCTATTGCCACTTGCGTAGTAGCGATGGAGCGCCGTCGCGGATCCTTTAAAGCTTCGGACGCATGTCAGTGGATCCATACAGTGATACAGAAGTGGGTTGACTTGGGTAACAACCTCGGGGATCTGGTTGTTGTATGCGATAACGCTCCGTGCCACTCCCACTTAGAAAGTGCAATCAACAACTTTAACGCGACAGACAAAGCAACGCTCCTACGTCTTGGACCATATTCGCCAATGTTGACTCCAATTGAGAATATTTGGTCTATGTAAAATTAAAACGTATGTTAGGACAAATATTGGCATTCCAGCTACATTTGGTCCGGGCGTTGTCGAGCAAAGGCTCTCTTACTTGGAGCAACTTATTGACGAGGCAAAAGCGACAGTTGTTGGTGGAGATTGTGGCAGAGCCATTCAACATTCTACCACTTTTCACCCAGATGCACTATCTTTATTCGATATGCCAGCTGGTACATAATTTAAAACTGCATTAATAAATTAATTGTTTCATTCTTAAATGTATAGACATTGCGAACAAACTAATTTACTTGTAATTTGAAAAATATATTAAAAAGTAAATATATTTAAAATCACTATAATATATATACTATTTAAATAATTACAATGTGTACGAATTTTCGTCTTCTGAAGTACATTTTACGATTTCTGAAGTACAATTTACGGTTTCTGAAGTACAATTTACGGTTTCTGAAGTACAATTGACTATTCTGAAGTACATTTTACGGTTTCCGAAGTACTATTGACTATTCTGAAGAACATTTTACGGTTTCTGAAGTACAATTGACTATTCTGAAGTACATGTGACTGTTCTGAAATACATTTTACGGTTTCTGAAGTACAATTTACCATTCTGAAGTACATTTTACGTTTCCTGAAGTACAATTGACTATTCTGAAGTACATTTTATAGTTTCTGAAATACATTTGACGCTGTCTGAAGTACTCTTGGAAAAGGTGTAGATACAATGCGATGGAATATTAATATAATCACTATGAAATATCTTTATACAATGATAAGGTTTTGTTCTAAATTCATATCTGATCTTGATATCTAATATAAACCTCTAAGAGATTTTTTCTGAACCACTTTCGATATTATTGCGCCAGACCGCCCATTTTCTCATTCTACATGCTTCAATTATTCCTTCGTAAGGAATTTGCGTTATCTGGAAATTGTCAATGACCGATATTACGTACCGATCGTTAGGCAATACTTTCTTAATATTGTACGGTCCTTTATACTTTGGTATTAACTTTTTATTTGTGCCTGATGTTGTATCGATGTTTCGCATTGCCACAAATTCCCCTTCGGAAAACGATTTATGAGGTTTGTGATCACGTTCGAATGCCCTTAGGCTTTTCTCTTGAGTAAGCTTAAGTTTGTGAAACGCTGTTTCGCGAAATTTTTCTAAGTCCCGATTTGGGTGCGCCCTTTCATTTAAATATGCGCTAAGAGAATCGATTTCGGGTCCTTTTTGCGGAACGCCGAACAAAAGGATCGACGGCGTCTGACCTATACTTACTCGTAATACGTTGTTCATTGCATATTCAACTTTGTTTAATAATTTGTGCCAATCTGAGGGTTGTATAGGTTCGGTAATTTTTGCTAACGTCATCTTGAGTGTCCTATTTATGCGCTCGACCTGCCTGAGGAGATGCAGTTGCACCTTTAACATGTGTAATGACATTATCAATTAAAAAGGAACTAAAACCCAAGTGACGTAAAATAACTTCCTCTGTCGCTGATTATTATTTCAGGCCGGTTATAATATTCAAAAAATTTACTCAGACACCCGACTACCTCTTTTGTACTGGTTGAATTGGCTGAATACAATTTTACGTATTTTGTAAAGGCATCCACAATAACTAATATATGTTTCGTTTTTGAAGCTATAGTTGGAAGTGGCCGAAATGGTCAACGTGAAGAGTATGAAAAGGAACAGGTTTCTTGGGAATATTGTGCAATGTTCGATTATTTGCATGTCCAGCTACGCCAAACATAATGCATTTTAAACAGTTCTTGATGAAATGATCTCCCTTGCTATCCATATTAGGGAACCAATAATGATGTTTTATTTCGGCAATACATTTAGCAGTACCCATATGACACAGTTTTTCGTGAACCAGCCGAATAACATTGTTTTCCATTTATGCAGGCACGTATAATAACAATATTCCATCTTTCGATTTCCTATACACTAGTCCATCGTCCAGTTCATAGTTTTTTACAGGTGCGGATTCTAATTCGTCCTCCAGGTTTGATATCAGCTCATCTCTGTTCTGGGTGACTTGCAATTGTAGGTTAACACTATCATCATCTATTACGGAAACTACCTGCTCTGCACTCTCGAAGGTTTGAATGTCTACGGGCGTCTGGCAGCACCTACTTAAGGCGTCCACATGCCCCATGAGGGGGGGGGGGGGGGGTAGTAGCCTGCGAGAAATATGATATTGGGTGAAATCGTCCATCTTTTTGTTTTTGAAGGAGGATACCACCAAACCTATTGATACTTGCGTCGCAGTGCAACTCGGTATCTATATCCCTATTGTATAATGCTAGTATTGGCTCTGAAGCTAATGTAGTGCAAAGGTATTGAAACGAATTTCGGCACTCATCACTGAAGTCGAATTTTACAGTCAAGTTCTTAAGTGGCTTTGCTATACTTAAAAATGACGGAATGAATCTTCTGAAATATGAGAAGAGGCCTAAACTCTTTTCTACATCTGACACATTTTGAGGAACAGGAAGACGACGAATAGCCAAAATATGTTCATCATTGGGCCTTATATTCCGTTTACTTATGGAATAAAAAGTCTATTTCGTTGAAGTAGTACTATGTGGAGCACAAGTGTTTTTGTCCCAATTGCAATATCATCCATGTATACTGCCACGTTTCCTTCTCTAACAATAGGCTGAAGCACGAAGTTAATAAATCGTTGAAAAACAGCTGGAGCATTCTTTAAACCCAAAGGCATATTCAAATACTCGTACTGCCCACTTGGCGTGACAAAAGCTGTATATTTAATAGAATCCTCAGAAACTTTTACCTGATGAAACCCACTTTTTTAGGCCAGTATAGTGACAAATTCATTGCCTTCTAATTTTTCCAAACAATCATCTATTCGCGCTAGGGGGTAGCCATCTCTCTCCGTAATTTTGTTCAATTGCCTGTAATCGACACACAGTCTTTTTTTACCGCTTTTCTTTTTCACTAAGACTATCGCGGACGAATAGAGGGATGTGCTAGGTCGTACATGTCCTGATGTCAAAAGTTCATCGACCATTTTCTCTATTTCCTTACGGTCGTTATATGAGAATTTACGCGGTGCGGAAGAGATTGGTACGTCGTATTTCAACCTTATACTCATGGCATACTCATGCTTGACTTGTGGTATCTTATCGAAGTTCGAATAACTTTGCTCGATAATGTTTTTAACGGCGTTCACTTTTCTGCTTCAATTTGGGGTCAATATTATACCTATCCATATCAAATGTGTCAATGCTAAATATAAACTCCTCGGAATCGTTGACACTCGTAACTTCTGTCTTTTCTATTTCTGAAGCCTTGCCGAAACTCTTTTCACACAATGAACACTTCGTTACAATTCTGTCAGTTTTCAATCATCGTATATACTTACAAGTATGGAATCCTATGCCCCTTTTTGTCTATTCTCTTTCTAACAGCGGACGTGCCTGCCAAACTGAAAAGCATGATGGCTGCAGTGTTTGACAGGCACGTTCGATGATGCGAACGGCAATGGAAGGTAAGAAATGGAAGATGGATGACATGAGAATGAAAGAATTTTAAATAGCAGAATGTCGAACCAAAACGAATTTCAAAAATCTGACAATGCGAATTACGTCAAAATGAAAGAAATGCAAAATACCGAAATGTCGAAACAGAAGAAATAGATGACAGGCACGTGTTCAAGGGTTACGTGCAACAAAAAGAGTTGTTGTGTTGCGCCATTCAATATTAAAAAAAAGTACTGTGGTTAAATACGCTTTTCTATTAAGTTGAAAAATTACATATTTCGCCAGCCAAAAAGTGTACAAATAAATATATAGCATATTGCTACAAGATTTATTTATAAAAACGGTACATGCTTATGACCTTATTCATAAAAAAGAAAGTAAGTAAAGTAACATTAAAAAAATCGATTTGCTTACTTTTTAAGAATTTGGGAAAAACATTTAACTTAAGTTTTTGTGCACCCATCTCTTTTTCTGTTTATTATTTTCAAATTTTTCTTTTCCTTAATACTCATTGAGTTTTCATTTACACCCAGCAAAAATCAAAATATTTTATAAGAAATTTGTTGACCGTTTCTCGCACACTTCTCTCATGCTTTTTTATCGTAGTCAAGGTGTATTAAACAAGGTGTGATTGACAACTCAGTGCGGCTCTCTTTTAAGGTACTATAATGTCAAAAAGTATAAACAAACGAATTAACCCTTAGTGATGCATGTATCTTGTCAGCACTGATTCCAAGGCTTTTATTTTGATTATAGTTTTGTTTTACTTATATTACCTGGAATATATATATTTTGTCAATAAAATAAAACAAATCTATATATATAAAAAGAAGTTACATTTCCTTGGTAATCTTATAACTCAAGAACCGCCGAACCGATTCCCACGGTTTTGCATTCGTTGGAAAGGGCTCGGGCTCCGTGAGGTTTGTAGCAAAGAAAATTTTTAAAAATAACTAGGGTCTCGAGATATAGACCAAAACGTGGACCTGGGTAACCTAGGGTGTATTTGTTCAATATGGGTATCAAATGAAAGCTGTTCATGAAT